ATGCAGTGGAATAATAAATTGTATACTTATCTATTTCTATGCACATCACTATGCCAAGGCAACATTCAATGAATGCATATGAAACATTTGAGGAATATTAAGCTTGTTCTATAGACATCTAACACAGGAAATGTATACTACTGTGTGGTAAGCACTATATTAGTTTGGGAGTAAGAAAATACGTACCAGGTTTTTTAGTCAATGGATCATCTTGGAAGAGCTTCATCGATTCCTCCACACTTTTGAAATTTGTTTTATAGTAAAATTCATCAAATTTATCATCCCAGGTTTCCTTTTTCTCTGTGTCATTCTTTTTCTCCGTACCATCCTTTTTCTTTTTCATTGTGTCATTCTTTTTCACTTTACCATCCTTTTCCACAGAATTATTAATTTCATTCTTTGTATCTTTTTTTTCAGATACCTTATCTCCAGATGTCTGTTCTTTTGCATCATTTTTTTTCTCAGCAGTCTTATTGTCTTTATCATGGTAGTGGCGAATCCCCCCAAGGTGAGAAAGCACTTGCCGTACAGTAATGGTGACCTGAAATGAATGAATGAATAAATCAATCAATCAATCAATCAATCAAGTGATCAATAGGTGATGAATAAACAAAGCTATTGAACCAGATAGTTGCAATGAAGTGTTATGCAATTATTTATTACCACACCTCAGTTTTCCTGCACCATAAAACAAAAGAAATGTCTGAGCACTGTAACATTAAATAAAGTACAGTCATACCTGTGTTAGTGACCACTATATAAAGACCACCTGCCTGTCGCCACTTTTGTTTGAAGGTTTAACATACCAGTAGTCTGTGTCTTATGTGACCACCCTTTTCAGCAATATTTTTGCTGATTTCCAAAATAATAATTAGAATTTCATTTTTAAAGTCAAACTTATTCATGATCTGTGATATGATATACCCCTTGTTAAAAGTTACACTAATTCTTTCGAGTCCTAGGCATCGAGTTATGGAGGTTCAGAGATGATAAATCTATAACTGGTTTCAACTTCTCTTAAAGAACAGGTGAGTGAATCAGGAAGCAGAATCAGATACCATGTAAAAGATGATCTGATTGCACCTTCTCCTCATCCCTTGGAAATGGCAGCCTATTTTTAGAGCTGTGTTGTACCACTGAAAGTGCAAATGGGTCTCTAGCTGACATTCTCAGCTACATCTACTTCCCAACTTGGGGATGTCTAGCTACATCTACTTCTCAACCTGGGGAGGTCTAGCTACATCTACTTTTCAACCTGGGGATGTCTAGCTACATCTACTTTTCAACATGGGGGATGTCTAGCTACATCTACTTTTCAACCTGGGGATGTCTAGCTACATCTACTTCTCAACCTCCGGATGTCTAGCTACATCTACTTCTCGACCTGGGGATGTCTAGCTACATCTACTTCTCAACCTGAGGATGTCTAGCTACATCTACTTTTCAACCTGGGGATGTCTAGCTACATCTACTTCTCAACCTGGGGATGTCTAGCTACATCTACTTTTCAACCTGGGGATGTCTAGCTACATCTACTTCTCAACCTGGGGATGTCTAGCTACATCTACTTCTCAACCTGGGGATGTCTAGCTACATCTACTTCTCAACCTGGGGATGTCTAGCTACATCTACTTCTCAGCCTCCGGATGTCTAGCTACATCTACTTCTCAACCTGGGGATGTCTAGCTAAATCTACTTCTCAACCTCCGGATGTCTAGCTATATCTACTTCTCAACCTGGGGATGTCTAGCTACATCTACTTCTCAACCTGGGGATGTCTAGCTACATCTACTTCTCAACCTGGGGATGTCTAGCTACATCTACTTCTCAACCTCCGGATGTCTAGCTATATCTACTTCTCAACTAGGGGATGTCTAGCTACATCTACTTCTCAACCTGAGGATGTCTAGCTACATCTACTTTTCAACCTGGGGATGTCTAGCTACATCTACTTCTCAACCTGGGGATGTCTAGCTACATCTACTTTTCAACCTGGGGATGTCTAGCTATATCTACTTCTCAACCTGGGGATGTCTAGCTACATCTACTTTTCAACAT